TCTGTACAGCTCAACTCCTCTGTCCCTATTTTGTCCTTCTGAGTGAGCAGACAAACAGCCAATTAAAGTTTATGAAGAAAACAGTGCAATTCCTCTGGGCTAGACCCATGCATATAACCCCAAAAAAAAGCATTTGTGCTGTAGCCAAACAACCTAGATTCCAACCAGGCCAAAGACAGCTATTTGCTCAGTCCTTTGGATTTTGCAGCCCTGTATCCAAAGGGTTTGGGTGAAGTTTCAAGGCCCCCGTCACCAGAAGCACTTTGTGCCTTCATGTTCTCAACCACCTCAGTATCATGCAATTAATTGCCCAACAGTTACTGTGTAAGCAAGTTAGTTAGCATGTTTGATACACTGCAAGAGCTTTGCATTTGGAACAACAGCACTTCTCTGTACTGGAGTTTCTCAATAAGCCTCTACACTTATTTCCACTGAGCTACAGTAGGAAGGACATTTAGGCAAACCAATACAATGAATCATCTCGTGTAAGCATGTTTAGGTATGTTAATCATAAAAGTAATTAGTTTGCCAAAGACAACCATAAAAAAAAGCATATTCTGTTTTCACAGTGTGAAATTAGTGACAGTTCCTCTCACTGGAAAACACAGTCTGAGCTTCTACTTACAGAAATGGGGGAAAGCACAGGAATGTGCAATACAGAATGCTTATTCTAATATACAAGAACTTCAAAAAATACCCCCCTATTTAAATGCCTACTGTCTCAACACAGGAATAAAGAAAAAACCAAAGTTAACTTATCATAAGGCACCAGTTACAGAAATGTCTTGGCTTTGTTTTCAGCATTAGCATTTGTTGTGAGTCTGTATCCAGGACAACTGACAATCAAATGCAGCAGCAAACACATTGCTGCATTTATTTTAAAAAAAGAAAAGTCATTTTAATCACATGGGCTGTATATCTTTGGCCAATATTAAAACTCACCATTTGACACAATGCAACACTTCCTTCTTCAAATGGTGAGTTAAAATCCACTTCTTTTTTTTAAGTTAAATTCAAAATAAAGGAATAATTCATACATGTCAAACTAAGTAAAGCTAGCATTTTTCATCTTAAAACCTCCTTAATCTATAATTGGCTTCCCTTTAAAGTCACCTTTATCTTGGGAGCCTGCCTAAATTGTTTAAATTCACAAGTGCAAGGCTAGTTATTGGGAAAGAGTAACAGAGCTTTTACTGATCATTAGGAAAAGTGCCTGTGGATTGCACTAACTTCAGTATTTTTTCTCTGTGCTATCAGAGATCATGAATCAGAAATAATAGCAGTAATCACGTTTCAGAAATGAGGCTGAAGCTACAAAGCCTTCTAACTCCCACTACAGCAGTCTTGTAATCCCAACAAGTTAAATAAATCCCTTACTTCTAAGACAATAAGTAGAAAAGGAGGAAAAAAAATAAAACAAGAAGACAAGAACACTTTGAATGCTGCTGCTTTCTTAAGATTCATGAAAGTCAGAGATGAACACAACAACTCAAATTCAGCAGAAAGATTTGGGTTTGGTTTTATGTTTTTAACATAACTTTTAAATGTCCCCCTTTTTTTCCATTTTATTTTATTTAACATCTCCTGTTAGAAGACTTGAATGCTTGTTTACAAAGCACCACTCCATTCTAACGTGTATGAATGAAGGGAAATAACAGAAAAGTAATCCTAAGGAAAGCACAATACTGGAAGAAAATTATGACAACGAACAACCACTAAGAAAAAAATAGTTTTTACTAAAAATCATCTGAGTTGCCTGGATTAACATGGGCAAAGAAAAAAAACCTGTGTTTTCCCACAACCTCCAATATGTCTGTTCTTTTCTGGGATCAGAAGAGAAGGGACAAGGAACTGAGTAAACTGCAAGTTGCTGAAAAGAGATCTTTTGGACTCCACTGGCCTGAGGGTTTTGGCAAATAGCTGTGCTAACTGCAGGCAGCACAGGAAATTTTGTCCTCTGGTAACAAACAGTCCAGAAACAGAAACACACTCATTTTCAGTGTCAGAGATCATGTTTAGTTTGTCATTTTGACAAAAGAGCTTCCCTTCATAAAACACTTTCAGAATGGGTTGGCAACATCAGCAAAATATTTTCAAGAGGACAGAAAGAGCAAATGAACATTCAAAGTAGAACATTTTTAATAATGTTTGGCCTTCAGTGGTTTGTCTTCAATATTCTGAAAGACACAAATGGAAGGGGTACACAATGCCTAAGAAATTCCTCCTGCCCTCTTCATGTCTATGGACCAACGTGAAAAGTACACCAGCCTCAAATATTGAGATGGAAAGTAGATAGAAAGTGATAACTTGGACAACTTTGAAAATACATATTAAAGTTTATGATACAATAATTCGATACAATTTCATTTTCTCTGTATAAGAAAAGATCTGGAATAGAATTTCTATGAAAGCTGTAATTCACTCTGGTTTATTTGCTTGTAAAAATACCCCAGAAAAGTCTGTTACTTTTCCAGCACTGGTAGTAAGTAATGCTTCACTGCCAAAGTTTCTGCCAGCAATATCCACTCTTGCAGTGTTTCAGAACTCCACTATAAAATACCAATTTGCTAAAACACTGGCTTAGAAAATTTGTCCTAATCATTTGTCTTTATAAAGATTTTTCCTGCACCATAAATGCACATGCTTTCAACAGACCTCAATCATCTGTGATGTTCTGGCAAATTCTAGTCGGTCATTTAGGCATGTTTTACATGAGTTTATGAGAATAAAATGGCAACAAATATAGAACAATGATCCACTTGCTCTGAAGTAAATGTATGCAATATTGGTTATAAAATGCCTTGAGTAATTTCACCTCTTGAAGGTTTGCACTGAACAATCTAAAATTATTGACTTCATGCATAAAGTTGATTAAAGAGAGAAGCAGTTACCATCATAGCTGCTGGCTGCTGAGGGTTCCCTCTGCAGCAGCAATGCCTGAGTTGCCTGTGAAGCAGTCTTGGGACTGCCCTCTCCATTGCCCAATGGATTAAGAGAGCTCCAAAGCAGCAGCAGGGCCTCTTTGATGTAAACTGCAGTGGTGCAAGAGCTGTTTCACACAGAATTCTTCCCTCTGTGCCAGAGGGCCATATTCTGAGACAGAGCTGTATGGGTGGCTGGGATCATCACAAACCAACATCCTATTAAATGTATCCTCTTTTCTTCCTTGATGCAGTAACTATGTGGCTCTGAGTTGCATTTTTATGCAAGAGTTCATAGAAGCAAGGCTTAAATCTGAATTCAAATCCAAGAAACAATGAGTTTAAAGGCCTGCTGTGTTATGTCGTATATTGTAGTATACAAAGAGTTTTAAGCAAAATATCTCAGTGTGATCAGTACAAAAATCTAGATACAATCAATGCAGTAAGGACCTCTTTACTTTCTGGCTCCTTCATTAGCTGGGATTCTGAATAAACATTTCACACATGAGAAAAAACAAAGATTGGACCCAAACTTCATTACCATTTGGTACCATTCTTGAAAAAATGGCCATAGGAGGCTAAGGCATCAGCAAAGAGCTTATACACAGAGCAGAGAGAGATATAGTGTTTATTCCCATCCTCCTTGAAGGTTCCAAAGTCACCACCTCACTCCAGGGGTTGAGCAGGTCTGACAGAGCAGCAGAAGTTTCTGCTTTGGAGGGTTAGGGGTGTGTGCACACCCTGCCCTCTCTGCAGTGCAGCTCTGCACCCGCCCAGCTGGGAGCACTTTGCTGGGGAGCAGGGCAGGCAGAGGAGGTGTCACACCCCGCTGCAGGGGGTACCTTTAGTAGAGTCACAGCTTAAATTCTCTCCTATTGCTCTGTAACGGGTTACATAAGGAATCCCCCTCAGCCTCTCCCACAAAACAGGTACCAGGACTGCATCCAGCACAGACATCTGCACTTTCTCCTGTTGTTTTTACACCCTTCCACAAAAAAAAAAAAGCACTAAAATCTCAGATTATCTGCACAATGCAGTCAAAATAAAACTTCAAATATAAGCAAATTTTCTGCTTTCTGTATACAAGTGCAAATGCTTTTTAAATGTTTCAAAATCCAAACACCAAGGCAGTAAAAGTATATTTGCAGCAAAATGCACATCTACATTGATCTACAGCACAGAACAAAGCCATCCACTGCCTAACAATCTAAACCTTCCTGAACTTGAATTTGTAAATATATCTATAATTTGTAAGCATGTATATACATAAATGTATATATATTTAAGATATGGTTGAATAGAAGATACATAAATATTTATCCAAATTAAAATTGCAGTGGCATTGTTCATCACAAGACTTGTATGTATCTGAGCATGAGAAAGATCTCTGCTGTTGTCTAATACAGACTGAGAAATAAGTTGCCTAGGACTTCAGAACCACTTGAAATGTCACCATATTTCCTCTGAAGCTCCAAGATGCACCTTTTTCTTGCCTTCAATAACATAAACATGTAATAGCAGACACAGAATTAAAATATTATTTAAAACATAAAATAATAATCTTATTTTCATCTTTCCCTTAAAAAAGTGAATACCACATACAATCTGATGCTATCCAGGAAAGTATTTAATTATTTTCCTAGTGGTTATGATGAAACAGCCTAATGGGCCCACTTCCTTATTGGATATTACAGCCCTATGAAAAGTGTTAAATTCGGCTGTAACCTTAACAGTTTGTATTTTAGTACAACAAAACACAGAATAAGGCAAAGATTGGTAAGCTGAGCAAAAACACCAGGTAGAAGGAGACAAAGGTACAAAATCAATATTAGTCAAACAAGACAACTAGATAAAATTAAATAGAATAACTAATTTTCCTCTTCAAAATTTCTTTCTCTCACTGTTGTACTCTTTGCTCTAGGAAATTCTAAATATTTCTAATTGTGAGTTAAAGAATATTTCTGCTTTGCAAGAACCAATGTACTCTTGATCCTCATTTGATATCCACCAATATTTTTTTCATAATGCTCCTTTTAGTGCCAGCATTCCAGATATTGACAAAGTTATAATTCAACTTACGTAAGTTATTTGGAGGAGGTCTTGTCTCCATGTTTTCATAGTGTTGCACATGTACTACAATGTTTAGATCTCTTTCCATATGATCTGTTGTACAAGGACCTTGAGGTCGCATAACATCAGCAAGAGCCCTGAAAACCAAACAAAACCAGAATGAACCTGCAAAATCTGTAAGACATCACCAATATGTTCCAAGCTCTTTTTTAGTTCGAGAGGAAGTTGATCATAATGTCTGCTAGAGAAAACAGCTCCCCTCACAACAAATTCAGGGAAGCAGATTCATTGTGAGACTTCACACCTAAGGCTCTTTTTAGGTTGTCTCAGACAGTGTGCTAGAAGTGAAACACAGAACCACAGTAAGTTCTTAAGCTGTCTTCGCTTTGGAGGAACATAATTTAAGCTTGTTGAGACTTGAAGAGTTCTGCCATTGCATGTGCTCAGTAACATTGCCACCTTGGTCAAGCTGAGCAGCTCAGCACCCAGCCCACATCTGTACCTTTCACAAACTAGTTATCTTCATACTAGGTTACTAGCAGGGCCTGTCGAAGTAAATTCTCACACATACATTTGCACAGAGCACCACTCAACGCAGTGGTCTTCACAAGTTGAAAAGTCATGTGATTTTCCTATAGGCAGGGATTTAAGCTTTTCTCATACAGAAGGGGAGATTAGAAATGTCTTTTCTAACTGCTATGGGTATCCTAGTCATTAAGATGGAGCAAAGCTTGCACAGAACACTCCTTGCTCCTTTGAAGCCAGTTCAGAAACAGGATGAAAGCTTTATGCTGGCAAAGAGAGAGCAAGCAAAAGGATTCCTAAGTTAAGCCAGGCCCTGATGCTGGTTGTGGACTCGGTCTGCAGAGCTCCAGGCAGTGTCTGACAGGCTCATCCCGCTCTGGTGTATTTTCTGAGGACCTGTTTCACTGCCGAGTGTCCTGCCCAGTGTAAATCCATTCTTAGGCACACAGATAAGCACTGGATGAGCCCTGGATGAGCCCTGCAGATCCAGAGTCACTAAGTTCTAAGCTCTGTAACCCTGAGCATGGCAACATCTAACTCCATCTGTGGTTGTGTGCTGGTTTGCCACTGCCTGTGCAGGAGCAGCATTAGCCCTGAGCTGTGTGCCCAGAGCCACCCACTGAGCTGTGTGCCCAGGGAACCATTGGCCAACCCGCAGAACCTGCTGCCCGAGGCAAAGGAAAGTTATAGTGTGTGTTACCAGTGTCTTCAGGGTTCAATGCAAGCCTTTTCTATTCAGGTCAATGCATCATGGACCATTATTTACCTCCTTTGTGTTTTACTAGCTTTAATTTTTAGACCTCTTGAGCTATTTTTTAAGGGCATGGACGCATTTTCTGGGCACTATGCCCAGTTTAGTTTAATTTTCTGCAAAATTATATACAGTGTCCCAGATACTGCATCAAGAAATACTAGCTTAAAAACTAAGAAATAAATAAAAATAAGCACATTCACTGTTGAAAGCCATGGTAAATGCCATCTAGCTCCTCCACTGTACTTCTGTGACATGATGATTTCTTGATCAAGTAGCACTGTACTTTTAAATATTAAAAAGTAGCTTCATTTAATTTATAGAAAGGAATCCTGAGCTGGATCTTGCTTTCTGATTGCAGGAATAGCTCTGGTACACAGCTGAGCAATACTGATGTTTCATTGTGTTTATGGCTAGCATTATGTTATTAAAATATTAGTTACAGTTGTGATCAACATGTTACAGAATACTCTGTTGATACTGTAAAAGGTCAGAAGACAGTAACCAAATGATTAATGGTATCAGAGTAATGCTCCCATTTGAAGCAGTGCTTATCCAGCAGAAATAGCAGAGCTGGCCTACATAGCAGAATAATAAAAATTCAACAGAAGAAATCTCACAAAGACATGTATAAAATGATGCAGAAAGAAAGCATTATATTGCAATACAGTTTAAAATAAGTAGGAACCAAAAACATTAAATATCTCATCAACTTATGCAAATATGTCTCTATACAGAGGAAATTATTGACATCAATATTACTTCTAGTTGCAGAGGCAGCTGGACACATCTCTGGGAAGGGAAGAAAAGTAAATAAAAGTTCCAAACTCCAATATAGGAGTTAAAACTTTGTGGGAGTGGATTTTCAGAAATGCTTTCCTCATTGCCCCTTGGTCCGACGGTAAATGTTGTTCTCTGTAGACTTTAAATAACACCCTGTGTGATGGCAGATTAACTACTGCCTGTCCACAGAAATGCTACATTTTCTACCATTTCAGGGTGGCTTTTTTCATATGGGTTCTAAGGAATTAGTTGTCCAACTCCTTCAATATTAAGAAAAGAGGAACTACGCACCACCAAGTTCTATTTTTAACAACACAGCACCCATGTTTATACTGTGTTAGCCAGGGCAGAATAGCTCATAAAATGAAGAGCTTGTCCTTGTTCTCCACTGATCTCAGGGAGAGTTCAAAATGTGTAGCAGCTTGTATCACTGAAGTACAAAGGAAATGCTGTACCTGCATTCTGTTCTTTTAGGGATTTGCCCATATAATGAAATGGATAAAGGGAGGCTTGTGCTCCAGTACATGACAAGATATTTGAATAGATGTTTGCTTTGAAAAATTCAACACAGGCCAACAGACTGTTATAATACCCTCATGCATTTGTCTCACCTAAATAGAGTCATTTAGATTTTGATCATTATCTGAAGAACGTGTTAGAGTGGGTCCCATTGAAAAGTTATATATACATAGAGGGGCTTTATCCACACCTCTGCTATACTGAATGATTTTTTTTTTTAAGGAAATGCAAAATGCAAGATAACCTTCTTAATCAGGGAGCAAAATCATCAGGTCCTGTGTGTTGATACTGATTGCAATATTACGGAAGTGAAGAAATGTTGCCTACACAGGAGTTCATGAACTATCCAAGTATCACAAAACTTCAGCAATTCCCTTGCCATAAGATTTTCCTTTTTGGACACATAATAATGGTTTGGGGTGTTATAAAGCATGTGGAGCCAGGCATTTCCCTTATGAGTACAAGCTTGAAGAAGCTAAAACAGGTGATTTCATGAAAGGTCACTTGTCATATTGTGCCTCCAAAACTGGGTCAAAATCCATAAGGGAAATAATTTCACACATAGGATTCAGGATTTTGACAAGTCAGGCTATTTTTGGCCCCAGGTACACACCTTTTGAATGATCAACAAAAGACCACTCGTGAGCTCAGCACATTGTGAAGGCAGAAAGAAAAGCTGAGAGGGTTCACAATATTTGGAAGGCTGCTCACACACTGTCAGAGGCACTGCTTCAGAAAACAGGGGCTATAGCATAGAGCATGATTGTAAATATTGTCCTTTCAGTTCTTGGCTTGTTTGCACATTCTCCACAAGGATTAGGGAAGAAGACAAAGTTGCAGTTTTATTTACAGAAAAATCTCCTCCATGAAACAGAAGTAAAGGTTTTTTGTCTTCTGTTCATTTTTGAGAGAGGATTCTTCCACTTTAACTGGTGGAGCCTGGAAGGCCCACTGACGTTGTCTTAAGCAGCAAGAACGTGCTGCCCTCGTATGCCTAACAGGGCTTCTAGATCTGCTTCAGCTGGCAGATCAGTTCTGGGTCCTTTCATGCACAACACTGCCACACTCATTCCCTTGGCCATATCTGCCTGCACACACCATCTGATTGCCTTACTCTCCTAGAAAACAGGAGGGAAAAGGAACAGTTCCTCTGGATACCACTGTTACTGCTTAGTTGTTGGACACTGTAGCTGAAGGGAATATTTATCTCCTTCTAATGTCAAGTAACAAATTTAAAAACGAGGAGAATGATATAAACAAAACATTATGGTACGATGTCTAAAAGGAAATACACAGTGCAGAGTTAATGCTGCAAAACTCCCCTCTCCATTTTCCTCTTCCAGATTTACAGTTCCATGCCAACACTCAGGGTGTTTGACTGAAAAGCACTGATCTGAGGAGAAGGAAATGTCAACAGTGCCACACTTGGCCTTTTTTCTCAAAACAAAAGGAAGTAACAAAGGTCTCTTTAAAAGAGGACAAATCTTGACTCTTTTTTTTCCTAAACAGACTTGTCCAATAGAGATTTTTTTTCTATGGATTATTTTCACTAAATAGATGCATTCCTCCAATGCTTTTTCCATTGTCAAATATTTCAGGAAAACTCAGTGACATTAATGGACTGTTCTTGGTTTGTTTTGGTACAGTAGTAAAAAAAAATTAGTGAAAGGCAGGTGTATAGAAACTATGTTCAGCAAGACTGTGAAGTTTCCTTTACTAACATTGTACCACTCTTACACACACCAGTGTCTTACTTCAACAGCAGATCTACTGACTGGAGGATGAAATAATGCAAGGAATTAATAAGTGTGGCACAGTTTTGCTTCCTATTTATAAGTCAGTGTTCTTATTCCCACATGTGAGGTCTCTCTTCATATTTTTAAATACTTTTAGTAAATTAAAAATGGAAATATATAACTTACACCAGTTATATTCTTTTGTTCACTTTTCTTTAAAAAATCAACACCCCCAAAAAAATCCGTTTCCATTATGCATTGTCTTTTTTTTATAAGCAGAACCATCCCTTTGATAGGTGAATTTGTTCACAGAAATGAAGAGGATTCAAGTGTTTCGTGTTGCCATTGGCTAGGGAAGGGAAAGGAGACAATCTTAGCTAAGGAAACAGATGACAAATCAGCATCTGTGTGTTTCTTGCTGCCAGCCAAAATGGAGTAACACTTAGTACTTTTACTTTGGCCTACCTGACACTCTTGATGCATTATACTTCTGCTTATTAATAAGGTTCAGCACAGAAAAAAAACCCATATGTGTGATTTTTTGGGGTTTTTTGATATTGCAGTGATGAATGTTATAAAAGAAGGTGAATATGAATATAGGGTGCATATTATATTAAATGTTGGTACTGTTAAATATTTGAACAGGTAAATTATTTCTTAAGCATTGCAGCTTTTTTTCCAGGACATTAATAGTGTAAAATGAGCAAGAATTAAATGTTTTAGTTAAACACACATTTGAGGACTAAGAGGTTACTTCAACTCTTCACTCAATGATTATATTTGTAGATTGCCAAAGGGATTTAAGAACTTAATTCCTTTTCAAATTAATGGTAAACCCACCCCACAGCTGTAATAGGAGTGTGAGAACTTTTAAAAAAAAAAACCTATAGCACTGCTTTTTCAGAACATGACTAGCTATTATGTGTGCTGAGTGGGTGACTGTTTTTCCATGTGATCATGACTTTCCAAGTTTCTATATAATCCTGACTTGAACATTTTCATGGCAAGAAAAGTACGAGATCGCAGATACTGTTAAGTAATCAGGGTAACAGAGGACCTTTTCTAAGAACCACTCCAAGAAACCTAATCTTCAGTGTACATGACTGAAGGACATGAGGATGACTTGAATGATTTTCCAATCCCCCGTAATTCTATTTCCAGAAACTAAAACAGAATATCCTTTCAGAATATTTCACACCTGTACTTTAGGTAGCAAATATTTCTACTCATAGAAACAGAACCTATTTAAGAAGCAGGGATGGGTACAACTTCACTCTGTCCTGGTTTTTGTGACTCTTACAAGCCCTGCTTTTTTGTCTGCACGAAGACACTACAGAGAGAGGCTGAAGCAAGGGAGAGCTTTTGCTGAAAGATCTCTGTAGTTTAAGAGTAGTATTTAAAAAATAAATTGGGACCTTTGTATTCTTTTTCTCAATTTAGTTGTGGAGAATATTCTAAATGTCTAAGGGTTTATCATACCTTGCTCAACAAAAAACATCTTTGCAGAAGTGTCACTGACACACGGTGTTGACTAAAATTTCTGCAGTGTGCTTTTTTCCTCGGTAGTAAAAACGTATCCATATCAGCCAGTTTATAAATAGCAATTAATAGCTCGTGAACTGGTGGTGCATTTGCAGGAGTATTTCTGTGACTTTGTTCATTTCAAGACAAGCAGTTAATCAAAAAAGTCACGCAGAAACTTCAGTAAAAAAATAAGGCTCCAGGTGTTGAGTTGATCTCTTGGACTGTCTTTCAAAGATGACTCTTCATCTAAGCCTTAAAGATTGTGAGCTACACCAAGAGTAGTCAGGGCAAGAGGAAGCTTTCTATCACACTGCACGTCCAGTAGAAGGTATCCTTTCATTGCATTTCATCACTAAAGTTGCCCAATATGCTGGGATCTATTTAGACTCTTTAATGGAGCTGTTTGCCTTTTTTAATGCCTTTCTCCCATCTGCTTTACTTTCATGTGCCTGGGATTAGCATAAAGAATCAGACAGGCTGCAAACTTGACAAATGTGTTATGCCTTGATTTTGAACTGCTGTGACAATCTGGGTTTGGAATATGTTGTTAAAGCCATTGGGCTCTGTCCCGAGTTGCCCACCTGCTTATCCACCACTAGGCAGCCAGGATCTGGAGTAGATGGTACACAGCATGTCTAACTCTAGGTGGGGGAGGTTCTCTTTGATATAATCCAGCCATTACACCGTGGATACAGAGTTATAACACACGCACACATGGATGAGACAAGACTTTCATATTCCATTATTTACCTCTCAACAGTAACTGAAAAAATGGTAAGAAATTCTACAATAGCTTTTCCTTTTTGTGTCTTCCTCTTCCCTTCCACCCTGACTCATTTTCACAGCTTAGAAATTTTACAAATAGCTCACACACTTGCAAGGGCTGGGGGAGTAGGGAAGGTCCTGCCAAAAAACATTTTGCAGCTGGAGAGGGAGGGTGAGATGGCATTTGTTTACATCCTTCTGTTGAGAAGTAAAAACATTTTCCAAGCTTTGAAACAGTTGGAAGAGGGAACCCATCAGCCTTTCTATAATTCAGTGTTGCTGGTTTCAGAATTTTTTTTTGGTTTTCTATTCACGCACAGTATATCCGGGAACACTTGCTGGATCTTGTTGGGGAGAGGGTCAGGCACTGCAGATAAAAATGCACTACTGTCTGTGCAGACTCCACAATTATTCCTAGTCTTCCTCAAATGCACATGCTTTGATAACCTGGGCTGGGGGAACCACAGGAGCTCTGCTCAGCAAAGTTGGTCTCTGTCGGTCGCCTTGCAGGGGAATGCAGCTGCCTGGCAGGAGCTGTTTGTCTCCCAGGAACACACGGGCTCCTCTCTCCTCTCTAGGGGTTGGGCAGGAGGTAGGGGGGAAGGGGACCCTGCTGCCTGGGACTCAGCCTTACCTGGACATGTGCTCCCGCTGGGGTCTGTGTGCCTTCTCCAGCCCTAGTTTGGTGAAGATCCCCACCAGCACCATGACTGCTACAACCCCACAGATGATGTAGACAATGAGGTTGGTTTTATCCCTGGTAGGGTCATGCAGAGGGTCGTCTATGCGGGAAGGAGGCTTCCCAGTGTTCATCCACAATGGTGTCTCATAGTTCGTGCAGGTGCTTTGATCCAGCCTTGTCTTCTTGAACTTGCAGCAAAACCTGAAGCCACAAGTGCCACAGCAGAAGATGAACTCCCCCGAGCTGCAGTTAAAGGGGGGGTCCCACTGCCCCATCACGTCAAAGTAGCCCCTGCAGAAGTCTGGGGTGGGAGGTGGCTCGGAGGGATCCAGCTGTTCCCCGAGGCTGGAGTGGTTTCCTCCCGAGAGCACCACAAAGCTCCCCAGCTGCTGGCCAGCTTTCTCCTGAGCCCGACACACCAGCGTGAGAAGGTCCGCCACCAAGTAGCCGAAGAGCAGCCGAATAAAGCCTTCCATTCTGCCTCCCAGCCCCGGCTCAGCGATGCTGCTGCCGCCGCCGCCGCCGCTCGAGCTGCTGGATGCTGCGCTGCGCCAGGAGCTGAACATAAAGGGGCTCCGTCAGGGGCCGGGCGGCCGCTCTGCCCGCGCTCGCCTCCAGCACCACGGACAGCCCCGGACGGGCCGGGCAGGGTCCGCCGCCCCCGCGCAGGGTCCGCAGCCCGTCCCCGCTGCGCTCCCGGGGAGCGACCGCGCGGCACTTGTGGAGCGGAGCGCGCGTGAGAGGGAGCGCGGGAGGAGGAGGAGAAGGAGGAGGAGGAGGAGGAGGAGGACCGAGGGGTGGAGGTGGCGGCGGCGTGCGGGGCACCGCGCCGGGCTGGCGAGAGGGGCGTGGAGGGGCCGCCAGCGGGAGGGCTGAGGCGAGGGCGCTGCAGGGGCGGGGAGATGGCGAGAGGGCGAGCGAGGAGCCTCCCCGCGCTGCCCGGAGCACCCACCGCCCGCTCCCCCGCGTAGCCCGGCGCGGTCCCTCGCACAACTCCCTCAGGGAGCCGCCGAGCCCCGCCCGGGGCCGGGCTGCCGGGGCAGGGCGCGGGGGGCTGGACGGGCTCGCCGCGGCATCCAGCCGGCGGGAAGGAAAGGGAGATGCGCCGTGAGGGAGAGTGCGGTGCAGCCCGGCGAGCCCAGCCCGCTGCGCGCCCGCCCGTCCTCCTGCCGGGCTCCTCTCCCTCCTTCCTTCCTTCCCTCCCTCTCTCCCAGCCCCGCTGTGGGGCTGTCCCCCCGCCGCAGAGCCGACCCCCGCCTCGGCCCCGCTCCCCGCCATCCCTTACATAAGACACTTCCCGCTCCCCACAGGTGCGTCTCCCACAGCGCGGGAGCGCCTCCTCGTCCCGTCCCTCCTCCCGCCCCGCGCTCGGGGGGTCAGGGCAGCCCGGGCAGGGCGGGGTGGGCTCCTCGGGCGAGCCCGGGGCAGCTCCGCGGGAGGAGAGCGGCGCGTCCCTCTCCCGATGAGTAGAGCGCTCCTTCCCCCGGTAACTCCTCTCCGAGCGGTCCCCGGAGATCCACTCACCTGCGAGGCAAAGGCAGGTGCTGCGGGCGGAGCGGCGTCCATGGGGCCGCACCTCCGCTACGCCCGGGCGGGAGCGGGCGCTGCCCTCGCCCCGGCGCGCCCAGCACAGGTACGGCGGTGCTCGCACTCCCTGCAGCCGCGCGGGGCTTTGTCTGCTAAACATGAGCTGCCCCTGCACATCATTTATTTAAAAATCTCTCTATAATGTCAGTCGGCTGGCTCCGGAGGACACAGCGAAGCTGCGGGTTGTTTGCGAGACACGGAATTGGAATAACTTCCCCCAAACAGAGAATTGACTCTGGGAAAGACTTTTTAGTGATTCACTCTCCATCCCTGTTATTTAACTCTGTCATCTCTGCCTTTTGGTTTGGCAGTAACCTGTGCAAGTAGCAATAATATTATCCTGAATACTATGCTGCCACCAAATGTAGGAAATAAGCCCCTTATGGCGTAAATGATTTAACAGTGTGGGCTGGTGCTGGAAGCAGCTTCCCTTCTCCTCGGGGCACGTCTGTGGCTGCCTTGCTGCGGCCTTGCGGGCTGCTGTGGTCCCTGGGGAAGGGGCTGGTGTGCTGGGGCTCTGCAGTGCCAGCCCGCCCTCCCTCTCCCACTGTATCGCTGGCGCTCTTCAGGAACTTCGGCCAAGTCCATGTGGAGTTGTTAGGCGGTAAATAAACAGAAAGGTGAGGCAGAGGACAAAGCAGACGTTTGGAATCGGAGAGGGCTGTAGTTAGCTAATTGCGATCCTTTGCCTTCTCTTAAAAATAGACTCTAAGTACAGTGATGATTCCACTGAACAGTTTGACAGTAAGCCTTGCATCTTTGTCCAGGAGGTAGGTTAGAAGGCCCCTTTATTTCTTAGCAGAGAAAAACAATCAGCCCCAGCCAAAACCAGCCTTTTTGGCTTTTAATATTTAATTCTTAAAACCTCCACCTCATCAACATCCTCTTTCAAGTCTCCTCTGAAATCATATCATTCCTCCCTCGTGTATACCTCTCTCTGCTATTATTTATTATTTAACACTTTGTGATGCAGTTAGTGCTGAAAATACTGCAAAAAATGAATCTTTTCCATACTTACTATTGCATCTAGAGACATTTCAGGTCCAGTCCTGTCAGGCGCTTAAGATTATGCAAGTTCCCCTGTTGATTTGATGGCTAAAAAGCTGCTTAAATATTTTGCATGATTAGTACTATACATGTGTGGAAATAATAACATCAAAAACCGATTTATTTTATGGGTGATTAATCCTGACTAAATATGGTACAAGTTTCTTGTTTCGCTAAGTTCCTGGGGCTTTCCTTAAGAATCCCCATATAAAAAAGAAGCCCAAAGGATTTAGGCTAGAACCTAACATCTCTGGGATTCAGGTCCATGAGATCAGAATTCGACCCTAAGTGACATGTGCTTGGAAAAACATGAGGATGATTAAAGCTCCTTGGAAAAAAATATTTCCTATGGCACCAAGAGGCTTTGGATCAGACCTGTGGAACCCAAAAATCATGCTATCCCTAATAATATGTTACTTTAGTTGTTGAGCTCTCTGAGCCTGCTAGTTGTATTAGCAGTGAAGTTATTTTTAGCTGTACCATGTCTTAAAATTCTAATAATGAACTGGAGTTGTTCTAGACTGGGGCACAAACCCTTTTTACCAGACCTGCAGTTTTGTGTTTTAATGGCTTCATAGCATGTAGTTGTAAGAACACCTGCTTGATCAAAACATAAACCCACTAATTATAATAATGGAAACAAGAAAACTAGTTGAGAGAAATGTGTATTACACACAGTACTGAGACATATCTTGGGTTATTGCGTGATGTTATAAAGTTTTTCTCCATTAAGTCAGTCAATATGTGTCTCATTTATTTTAGTTGTGTCTAAGAAGCTGAGAAACATGAAAGATTTCCCAGTTTAGCACCATCATCATCACTTTCAAGACTTCAAGAATTTCAAGACCTCTCCCTTTGACATTGCTTTAAGGTAAGTAATAATTACCTACTTTTCTACAGATTTATCCCATAAGGAATGTATTTTGCCTCTGAAACAACTGAGAGGGTGAATGTTTCAACTAGAACCTGCAGAGTTGTCTTTACTCAAGTGCACATCCATTTAATTAAGTGAAATTCTTTTAGGCACCAAACTTATACAAAATTCTTATTATCTTTTTCCTCTAATTTCTTTGACTTGTTTTCACCAAGACAATATGAATCAATGGCAATGCTTGTTGTTCAACTTTAAGATAGAAAACAAGCACTTTTTTCTGGCAAATTCTGTAGCAATGTGTACTCATGTCACATGGCAGTTATATAAATGCATATAGACTCATAGTCTATATATTGAATTCTGTGTGGAATTGTACATAGTCTTAGAACTGATTCTTGCAGGAGTGTTTTTATGTAAGAGAGTTTGAAAAGGAGTGAAATTAGGAGAGAAAGTTAATGAGTTAATCTGAACATTGAGGTGGTGACAAATCTGAAGAGTATAGAACAATTAGAATATACAGAGCAATTGCAATTATTATGTTCCAAATTCTATATTTAATTTTAATTCTGTATTTATTTTTTTTAATAATAACAATGTTGATAACCTTTGAGTATTTCTCTGGGACTGACTACCTGCTAGAGAAAGTAGTCCTTTGCTGAGCGCTGATTCAATGGAGCTTTCTAGCCAATCATTAATTCCCAAGAAATGCCATATAGCTCAATCATTATTATTAACAGACATTCCAGAGCTGTGAGAATCTGTCAAAAAAAGCAGCCAGACAGGCCTGATCTCAGACAGTGTTGATGTGAAAGGTATTTTGTGATAAGAAATGTCATGTGGAAACTGGAATGAAGCAGTCAATGTCTGCTTCCTTGGTAGTATTTTCCTACTGAAGTGGCATGTCTGGATACATAGATACAAAATGTATTGCCAGTGGAAAACAAAAGAGGTGATGATTCTACCTCAGCAGACTGACTGGCAGCAGGGCTGCAATCACTAGTCTGTAAAAGCACAGGTAAACGTTAGAAGGTGTCCACTGTTCAAGAATAAAAGGTATCTTAGCAAACATGAGTTAAAGAAGCAAAATGTGTTTTAACAAGGAGGCTACAAACAACTTCATGTTTATAAATACAGTCCCATGATTTACAAATATTGTAAACAGTCCTGAATGACACAATACAGAAGTTTGCTTTGGACAACTCTACATTCTTGAATTAGCATGCACCAGACAGCCCCATTTGCTTCTCCCAAGTTCTGACACTGCTCTGTGAGGGGTATTCTCTCCCACTGGTATTAGTCTTGCTGAATGGTCAAAATGCATTTTGTTTTAGACCTTTCTTTTAGTTACAGAGAACACTTCATAAGGCTTTGCTCCTTTAACCAGTAACTGCAATCATTAATATCATATCAGAGCAGCAATGTGTGAAATCCCAACCTGCACTGTGTTGACACTAAATATACTTCTCCTCTCATAATTGCTGAGCACACATCTTTTAAACTAACCTTTCCCTTTTCATTAAAAAAGATGCACATTCAGGCTAGGACAGAAGGAGCTTGATCTTATATATTTATTAATGCAAAGAAACTTTAACAGGAACATCTCACAGACACTGAGCATTTTTAGTTATTGTCATCAAGTCTGAAAAAATATACATTGCATGTAGCAAAGGGATCACCATCAAGAAATCTTAATGAGCCAGGAGGTACTGCATGAATAAAAAACCATGAGAGACTTCTTTTTTATGGCTCACTGAGGAGGAATATAATTTATTGCAATTCTATAATGTAGAAATTACCTTTATAACCTAATATTTTTCTCTTCGGTCTTCTTGTGAAACCAAAACTGTAGTAATTACATGGCTTGAGTTTGAGGCAGGCAGTGACAGCATCCAGATTTGGAGTGGACTTCATGAAATCCTGAGAGTTCTTTTTAGCTTCAGTTTAATTCAAAGGAATTTCAGAAAAATTCAGATAAATTTAGACGGTAAATGGAGTACTTGCAAATATACAAGAGGAAATACATGTATACTGCAAATGTCTTCAGTATACAGCAGTGGAAAAAAGTGCCAACCTGTCTAAAGCAGCTTCCAGCAGTACAGCTGAAAAATGAGTTGTGCCCTCGGGTTCACCTGTTGCACAGCTCTTGCTTTGATTCGGAACAAGGAGAGCTGCCAGTCAGGTTCTCTCTTCGGCAAAACTGATGGTACTTTTGAATGGTAACAGGATTGCAAGTACCTGTGAACAAAGTACCTTTCTGCTTGTTATAAATTAGACTGTCATGGAATTCAGATCTGGAGTGATTGGCCAGGTGTCTGAGGATTACTGCAGCTGACAGAGAAGGCTCTGCAGCTCATTCCAAAGTCATGCCAACAAAATCTTTGTCTTGTTAACAAAAAAAAAGAAAG